ATATATACACACACACATATCTACGAACATTTTAGCTCGACTTTAGCATTCAACGAAAATGTGGAGTGTGCTACACGTAGAAAAGTTATAGCCAGAATGGTGAGGATTTACACGGAGGACAATAATCCGTTGGAGACGCTGCTTGCCGCAAATCAAGGTCGTGTTCTGAAGGCGATCATCTGCGACGCTAAGAAGATTTTCCTGCAGATAACGCATCCGCCTGGAAAAACCGAATACGCCAGGCACTACTCGTGCTTCACGTGGACGAACGTCAACGGCGTGAGGTTGGTTGGCAAGCAAGGGACGGTCGAGGACACGCACAGTCTGCTGAATTGATTCGGCGTGTCCAACGCTCACGTGGAACTGGTGGAAACCCAAGTCCAGTTGAGTCAGGAAGGAGACAACATCTCGTCCATCGACAGAGACGCGGACAGAATCACGATGATGACGCTGGCCGTGAAAGTTGCGAATCCAGAGCAACGTGCGTTGCTTGAACAGTACACGAACGAGCACGTTTTCTGGCGATTCAGCGAGACGTTGAAGCTGATGATGTGGTTCGGCGGTATAGAAATCGGCTCGTCGACCGTCGAGTACGTACGCTTTCTGTGCTGCTTCGTGCAAGTCAACGGAAGCATGTTTGCGGAGGAAAATCATCTGGTTGCAGGAATGAGGGAATGGTTGGTGAAGGAGGTGGGATTTAAAACGGCTCCAGATGTGACCCTTCGAAGTACAGGATTTGTCGCTCCGGCATTCGTGGACGGTGGCCTTGCAGCCGCACGTAAGAGAGAGTGTGTTACGGAAGACGACGGTGAATCGAAGAGACCGAGAATGTCGTTTGAATGCGACCACACTTACTCCAAATCCGATAGCTAAAAAAAAAAAAAAGAAAAACCAAACAAGTATTGTGTACTTTTTATTGTTTTTGAAAATAAAGTTTAATGAAAAAAAAAAAAAACATATATCTTTGATTTGTTTTTGCTTTGTTGTTTCTTTTTTTTTTTCCTCCAATGTATCATCCGATGACGTCGACAATTTCGATGACGTCATCGATGCAAATTGTATACACACACACACACACACATGAGCTACTGAGTCGATATAGCATTCAGCCTTAAGGATGGAGGACGTGACGAATGCAAAAATCATAGCGAGAATGGTGAAAATTTTCACCGCGGATAACAATCCGTTGGATATGCTGCTGGATGCAAATGGAGGGCGTACCATGAATGTGGCCGTCGGTCTTCGCAAGACCATATATATGAATGTACATTTTCGGGCTAAAGGAGATGGGGATGGGAAATACTACAAGTGTTTCGTGTGGACGGTCGTCGGCGGCGTTAGGTTGGTAG